AAAAAAAAAAAACGGACATCAGGTCAAGTACTTTTTTATTAAGTCAACTCTCAGTGGCAGCCATTCGCTAGTGAGAACTGCTTAAAACACTGAAAACTTTAGAAAGATTTTCCATAAATGCAAAACTTGTATCACCAAAATATATTTTCTTCAACCTGTCATGGATTATTTTATTTATTTTTTTACTTTTAAATGGTCACTTTATTTTACAGAAAGAACACAAAGCTTTGCTGAAGACTTGCTTGTGATTAGGTGAATATTAAGTAAACCTGCATTAAAGGTGCACTTTTATTTTACTGTGAATGTGCAGGAAATATTTGTATTTAAATAATAAAAATATCTCAAATTTGATCAGTTTAGTTCAGCTTAGTTAAGTGTAGGAACTCAGAATTTAATTTTATATTAGATTTTTATTAAATATTGATGTAGGGGTGTGGTGGCGCAGAGGTTGGAGAAGGTGGGCCTGTGATCGGAAGATCGTTGGTTCAACTCCTGGTACCGACATCAAAATGTGGGTGGAAAAGGTGAATCACCCACCTGCCTCCACCCTCATTTGCTCCACTCTGGGCCCTTGAGCAAGGCCCTTTAACCCCCACCATCTTCTCCCCTGGGCGCTCTAGATAGCAGCTCTCTGCTCCACACGGAGGGCTGTGGTAGCTCAGTGGTCTGGTTGTGTCAGGAAGGACATCCGGCATAAAAATAATTACCAAGTCTTTGTGTGACAGTTCACTGTGATGAAGGAAAAAGCTGAAATAATTTTTTTTTTTTTTTTAATAATTATCGATCAAATATTTTTTAATGTTTGGCACAACTGTAGTAAAGTAAACATTAAACAACAACAAATCTAAAATTCTCCTTTCTGCTAAAAATTACTTTAAACAGTTTCAGTGCTGACTTTTGTTGTCATCACACTGTTTAAAAAAATTACTGTTAGCCCTCCTTTAGCAGCGTCTGTATTTTTTTTTTTTTTTTTTTGTGAACCTCCCACAGATTTAAGGAGATAAATGTGTTTTGGACTTCATCAGTGTGTAATCATCAAGCTGCATCTCTCTCATTATTACCCTTTACCACAATCTTCTTCATTACCTCATTAACCTCCATTTAATGTGTTCACATGAGTGAAGCAGCCATGAATCAGTCTGGTTCCTCATCACCTACAGCAGTTCTAAGATTATATTTTGAATATCTCTTTGCCTGTTTTTTTTATACCTAAGATTGTTTTTAAATGTCAGTGATTGCAAGATTGTCTCAAGCCTATAGATTGATTGTTTTTGTAATAGTGAAGATAGAAATTTCACCTAAAAATGTAACGCGTTGACATCCGAAGTGAAAAAGTTTATATTCTGGGAATTTTCTGTACGTTTTTGATTCAGTTGCCTTTCCTTTTTGTACTTAGAAAAACTGCCAGCAGCAGTGCACGCAGCGGAGGCAGGACCACAGGATCCGCAGGAACCGGGGGCATGTGGCGCTTCTACACTGAAGACTCGCCAGGCCTCAAAGTGTGAGTAGACTTTATAAAAACAGCCATTATAAAGCAGCTGTACCTGTAAACTCACAAATTTAGCCTTTGACATTTTAACACTTCACTTAACGGCAATAATTCTCAAGATTTCCGATTCTGATGATGGTTATTGGTAGGAAATTGAGTAGACGTGACTTTTTAACAGAACAAATGATGTAAAGGAGCTGTGGATCAGCTTGATTTCGGCGCGTCTGTATGCACACATAATTACATTAGGAGAGCATGCTCTTAAACTCTCCTCGTCAAACTTGTGCTTTGCTCGCCCCTGATATTAGAGGAGGCATCCTGTCTCCAGGCCATAGCCAGTCATGGCTGATCAATGGTGCTGTGGTTGTTATTGAGTGCGCCTCTCCAGCAGTCGGAGGGAAAACTTGCCGTACAGTGGTGTGTATCGAGTGCGTGTTTGGTCCCGCGTTAGACGCCGGCCTCAAAGCTTCATTAAAGGATCCACTCTGAAAGGTCAACTCAATTACTGCTTTCTGACGGGGTGGTGGGAGAGGGAGGGGGCGCCAAGGAGGAGGTTGGCATGGCAATGCTGCTACTTAGCAATGTGCGCCTCCGTCCCACCTCCACCCCCTCTTAGAGCCTCCTTCAGAGATGAGAGCCCCTCCTCGTTTCTAAATCTCATCAATAAAATTAGTCTGCTTTGATTCTCTCTGGTTGGGGTTACAATTGTGTGTGTGTGTGAATCTGGGTATTAATCATTGTCTCATTGTTGTGACAGCGGTCCGGTGCCAGTCCTTGTGATGAGTCTCCTGTTTATTGCCTCGGTCTTCATGCTTCACATCTGGGGGAAGTACACCCGATCCTAAGCCCCACCTGATGACCTCTGACCCTGCTCTTCGGCTTCTTAACTCTTTTGGACCTGGACCAAACAAACAAGTTCCCTCTTCCTCTGTCACTACAACACACACTTTTTTATTAGTACAAGATCTTTATCCATATCAGATTTTAGTAACTTATGCAGCTTCATTCTGTCGATGAGTGTTTTTACACCAGATATGAGCGAACGAGACGAAGCCTCCAAACCTCTTTATTATTCATCATGTTGCTCTCACAAAAACCAGCAGCAGCAACACAGGTTTGCTTCTGCTGCCACACGAGGTCGGTGCATTGTCCAAGGACATTTTTGTTTTCAGGGCCCCAGTAAACCTGATTTTTTTTTTTTGTTGGGTTAATGTCATTTGTACAAAATGTAATTCTGAAGTTGTACAATAAAACAAACAAAAAAAGATTTAAAAAAAAAGTTTTTGTTTTGCTTCAATCTTGTTTTGCAAGTTTAAACTTATGTATCCATTACCAGAATTCTGAAAGCTACTTTTTTAAATAGCGTTTTATTTAAACATTTGTTTTAAACAGAAAAATTATAACATAAAAATTGTAAAATTTGTCAAAGTTGAGGCTCAAATTTTCTAGTTTTTTAAATTTTCCACCACATATTTCACTTATGTAACCCTGATCAATTACTTCATTTAGTGGTTTTACATGTCGACATAAGTTTATATTTTGCTGATTTTAGTGTCTTGAGTACATCAGCAGAAAACTTCACGTATCTAGACAAATGTGTATAAGTTTATTTTGGTAAACTTGACTGGATGAAAGTTAAGTTTAGTTACTAGTTAAGTTTTGCTCAATATTTTTTTGACAGGATCTATAATTGCCGACAGAGTACTAGGTTAGAATAAAGAATATAATGACTGATTGGAAAACGTTTCATATTTGTCGATAAAAGGGTATTATGACTACCGGTACTCGTAAGGACAGAAAATAAAGCTGTTTCAATATGACTTCTGATTTATAAGATCTTCGTGTTATGCCTCCTTTTCTAGGCAACTGAGCAAATACGAGTCATGAAGCCCATCCATGATCAGTGGAATGGATTTAGGGATTTTTGCGCACTCCGATCAGTGGTGGGTCTAAATCTGCATAAATCACGAGCCCCAGTACAGATATATACACCTTGTGTAGTTTTTACTCTGGCCATAACTTCTCCAGATGCTTTGAACTTGTGCAATGCTGTGTAGCATTTAAAAAAATTGCCACAAAATATATTCTCGTGTTTAATTTTTGAGTCGACCATTGTTTGAGAAAATGCCAACACAAGGTCTGCAGAGTGTCAGAGGAGCATTAAAAAGCAAACCATCGTACAAGTCATGGGGGACGGGGGAGGTTTACTCATTTTTGATGTGCAAACTACAGAACGCGCATCAACATTTGTTGGTTTTCAGCTGCTCAACAGTTTCAATTATCAAATATTTAATTTAATTATGATCATTTTGAGTTTAACATTGGGAACAAGCTTAAAAACAAAAAAAAGGAACTGGAAATCTTAAATGGTTTTAGAATTACATTACAGCAGTTTAACAACGTAACAAAGTTACAAGCAAGAGGTCAGTAGCAGGATAATGTTCTAAGAATATCCTCTGAAAGTCTGAGTGAAGATGGAGACATGTTCTTTTAACAGAGAGAAACTTCTGCAGGTCGAAAAGGACAAACCCTGAGTGTTTGGTTTATAAGCAGCACAACCTCCAAAACAAACACTTGGATTCATGCTTTATCATTATTTTAAATAGCTCATTTTACTCGGCCTAAGACAAAAGTACTTTGAAATGGTACAAATCACATGATCTGGGTTGAAAGAAGGAAACGGACTGTCCTGTTTACTATCAGCGCACAGAATCTGTGATGGTTGTACACTGGTGCGCATGACACCAGTAAGCATCAATTTAAAGTGCCTGTGACGTCAATTTTTTTTTTTGTAACAAATAACGAAGGCATTATTGGAAAAACGAAATGAATGTGTTGCAAAAATACCATTACGCTGCTAACAGGAAGTGATGACACGGGAACACTTGTGCAGAGAACTGCTACAATAACCAACGGATGAAAATGAATCTGATTCTTTAGATTATTTTGAGTCACTATCAGAAAGTGATGAACAAAAATCAGAGTTTGTATAAAACAAAGAACAGGGAGTTCCACTTTTTAAAACCTTCCCCTTTGTCATCACTTCCTGTTTCACTTGCGCAAAGTAAAAAACATAATATGCCAGTTGTTACAAAATGATAAAATTGTGTGTATTATACCAAATTTCTTAAACATTGAGATGTTTTCTTCCACTTTTTCTATGTGTAGGAAATGCATCTTGCATGCACTTTAATGTTAAAGGATACCAACATCTGCTGCCATCTGGATTAACAATCTATACTTCAAACAATAAAAACATCCATCCATTATCTTTACCTGCTTTTCCAGTCAGTCGGAGGGGGTCACTGGTGCCCATATCCAACTGTCGCTGTGTGGGAGGAGGGGGACACCTGGACATGTCTCCAGTCCATCACAGAGACACAAAGACAAACGAGACAAACGACTACGGATGCACAATATTATTGGCATGGTATCGGCCGATATTAGCAATAAAGTTAAATATTGGACATTGGCCCTTCCATCAAAATAACTCACCGATACAAAAGACGCAGTTTCAGCACATGTCATAACGTCACGCCATCTTAGAGCTATTCCAATCTGACTTTAAACCTCTCCTTAGCACTGAAACTGCCCTGCTGAAGGTCTTTAATGACATTTTCTTAACCACTGATACCGGTGATTCTGTGCTGCTTGTCCTGTTGGACCTCACAGCCGCCTTTGACACCATCGACCATGAGATCCTCATTGCTAGGTTGGCGCAGTGTGTGGGCATCACAGGGTCAGCCCTCAATTGGTTCAGATCTTACCTCGCTGACAGATCCTTTTGTGTCTCCATCAAGGATTTTAGTTCTGCAGCGGCAGAGCTTAAATGGGGGGTTCCGCAGGGGTCCATCCTGGGTCCCCTCCTATTCTCTTTATACCTGCTGCCGCTTGGTGCTGTTTTCCGGAAACGCAACATGCCCTTCCACTTCTATGCCGATGACTGTCAAATTTACTTCCCCCTAAGACACAATGGCACATGCTCTATTCAACCTCTGCTCGACTGCCTGGCTGACATCATGGACTGGATGGCTTTAAATTTCTTAAGTTTCAATGAAAAGAAGTCTGAAGTCATGTTGTTCCCTCCCAACGACACGATCACAAACCACTGCATCAACCTCTCCGCTCTAACCCTGACAGAAAAACAAAGAGTCACTAATCTGGGAGTGATAATGGACCCTTTCCTGAAATTTAAATCATGTTTCTTCCAACTGAGGCGGCTGTCTAAACTGAAGCCCATATTGTCCAAAAATAACTTTGGAGACATTAATACATGCATTCATTACATCTAGGCTTGATTACTGCAATTCGCTCCTGTTTGGTATCAGTCAGACCTCCATTGCACGACTACAACTGGTCCAGAATGCAGCAGCCCGATTTTTAACCAGTACAGGCAAAAGAGAGCACATTACACCAGTTTTGGCCTCACTGTACTGGTTATCGGTTCACTTTCGAATCCAGTTCAAAATACTCATGTATGTCTACAAATCACTGAACAGTTTCGCCCCCCCCACCCCATCTCTCTGATCTGCTACAACCGTATGTCCCACCATGCTCCCTGTGGTCAGCGGACCAGTTGTTCCTCACAATTCCAGGAACTCGTCTGAAGCACAGAGGTGACAGGGCCTTCTCTGTAGCAGGACCAAGACTTTGGAACGAGTTACCTCTGCTTGTCAGACAGGCCCCCTCCCTCTCGGTTTTCAAGTCCCGTTTAAAAACCCACTACTATTGAGTAGCTTTCAACACCAGATGATCTGTGTTTTGATCCTGTATGCTCCACACTGGTTAGTCGTCTTATTTATTATCTGCATCATTTTTATGTCTATATTCTGATTTACTTCATTTTGTATATTGCTTTGTGTGTTACCTGTTGTTTTTGTCTGTACAGCACTTTGGTTGGCCTTGTCGCTGTTTTAAGTGCTTTATAAATAAAATGGTATGGTATGGTAATGTGCGCCGCTGAGTTTATATTTGTGAAAATTTACAAATTTGCACTGTTCGAGTGTTGTCATTGTCTTATAGAGAGTAAATATCATGAATAAATTTGACATTAACTATAATTCATGCAAGTTGAAGTGTTTCATCATTTTAAGTCCCTTTTTGGCATCTGCATTTGGTAGCAGGCTAAATTGACAAAGACCATGCAGAATAATGTATTTTAAGTCCACAGCAGAGGTATATCTAAAAATATTGGTATTTGTATCGGTGATCAGCCACATAAGTTTTAAAATATCGGCATATCGGCCAAAAATCAATATTGTGCATCCCTACAAACAACCATTCACTCTCTCGCTCACATCTAGGGACAATTTAGAGTTACCAATCAGCTTAACATGCATGTTTTTGGTCTGTGGGAGGAAACCGGAGCACCTGGAGAAAACCCACACATGCACGGAGAGAACATGTGAACTCAACCCAAAGGGGCCCCAGCTGGGATTTGAGCTGGCGACCTCCTCGCTGAGAGGCAACAGCTCAACTGAGCCACTGTGCTGCCCCATTAGAAACGTTTGGCGTCGTATACTATAGCAGCTGTTATTATGGCTTTTGTTTGCCAGAACATGAAACTGAGCATATATTCAACAGAAAATGTTAGTAAGCTGATGTTTTATTATTATTTATTTAAACATGGAGTTTGCAAAGTCAGATTTTGTTTTCATTCCACAGCAGCTTTGGGCTTTCTCTTATTTCTTGTTGACCTAAGATCTGGTGGAATGTGTATTCTTTTTATTCTCATACAGATTCTTGTTAGACTCAACCTCCAGCTTGTGGATAAAATATATAATAACATTTAAAGTATTTGTTTTATTATCGCCTATAAAAAAAAAAAAAAAACAACTTTATTTCTTTTGTCTTTCCTGCGGGGGGCGCTGCAGACTACTGTCTGAACAGTGCTGACTCAGCAGATGTTCACCACAGCATAAAGCTCATCACTCACAGATATGAACACATGTTTGTTCAGCTCTATTTTTAAATCATTTGAAGCTTCACGATGTAAAAAGGTTTTGCAATAGATCAACATCATCCAGTCAATCAGTCTCTTTGATAGTGAAGTGATTTTAATATAAAAGCCCTGATGAAATAATCTAACATTTAATTTAATCAAGGCATGTTGATTTAAACTTTTTAGCTCCTTCAGGTAATTTCCTTTCGTTTCATTTTACTGGGAAATGTGGGCGCTGCTGTGAACCGCTCTGGATGTTTTAGAGATTTACAGCTGCATCACCAGGTTATCATTGAATATGAAACCTACCAGCTGGCATGTTCTCCTCGTGTGTGTGT